AGAAATGGTCACAAGCCCTGGGAGGAAATAGATATTTTGAATGCTAACTTCAAAAAACAAAATACATTTAAACCAGGGACCCTACACATCTGGAGGTGCTTTATTTCACAAGCAGAGTATAGGTTGAGTCTTCCTTATCTGAAGTTCCAAAATCCAAAATATTCCCAAAACCAAAACTTTTTTCATGAGTGGCTGAGATAGTGACACCTTTGCTTTCTGGTAGTTCTGTGAACACAAACTTATTTTTAAAAATATTGTATAAAATTACCTCCAGGCTACGTATATAAGGTGTATATGAAGCAGAAATTAATTTGGGTCCCATCTCCAAATTATGTAGGTGTATGCAAATGCAGATGTTCTAAAATCCAAAAAAAATATCAAAAATTCAAAACACCTTTGGTTCCAAGCATTTCAGATAAGGGAGACTTAACCTGTAATATGTATTTGTAAGCTGAAGGTGAGCAACATCCAGTCCTGCACCACCACCACCAAATACCCAAGGCCTAGTAGGCAAATGAAATAGGCTTAGGTTTTTTGTTTTGTTTTTTATGGAAAAATATAAATTAGTTTTATTACAGATACTAAGGATTTATAACATCTTGTGGTGAGAGGCTTTGTAATGTGTGCCTTTCAGACATGGTGAGAGAGCAAGAACTGCAGACAAAAAATGGAGAACAAACCAACTAACAAAGGTGAACTGATGTAGGAAGAGAGAAGGTATAGCTTGTAAAATCAGCAAACAGGAAATTACATGAATGCATGTTATGCCTAAACTCTTAGACATACAAACTAGCAACTACTGAATGCAGGTATGCTAAGATTGCTACCTTTAAGAAAAGCTTCTCCATTTTCATTCTAAACAGGCACTGGAATGCACATTATGGTCTGAAGTTAAACAATACTTCCTGGAGGCTTCCAGTATGATACGTCTCTCTATGTTTTTTCTTTAAGATAGGGTAGCTGGACCTAGAGGGCTGCACAATTTAGTTGAGTGCTACAGGCAACATGTTGCCCACTCCTGTTGTATAAAGAAAAGTGGTTTGGCAATGGCAACTCCAGGTGGAAAGTGTGGCAAAATGGAGATACACATTTAAGTGACATGCACTGGTCCTATTTTCTGATGGTGATGATAAAAGAACACATGCTATTTTTAAATGGAGGTACTCAAGGCAGCTGAAAAAATTATAAGACTAAAACATAATGAATACATACAATTTAAGTATTTTGGTATGGAAAGCAAGGAATTTTTATGTTGGAGATTGAAACCAAAAAGATTTGGGGTTGTGGGGATGGGGTTGAGGGTTTACTAGAAAGGAAAGTACTCAGCTGACATCTCTGTTGTTGTTGTGTGCCTTGCCTTCAAACCATTTCTGACTTATGGGGAACCTAAGGCAAACCTATCATGAGGGTTTCTTGCCATTGTCTTCCTGTGAGACTGAGAGAGTGTGATTTACCTAAGATCATCCAGTGGATTTCCATGGCAGAGCAGGAATTTGAACCTTGGTCTCCAAAATTACAATCGAACACTCAAACCACTGCACCATGCTAGCTCTCCAAGCACAGTCTTAAATGGACAAGTA